AGTTCACTAGTTAGTGTTTTCTACATTTTAGCGTATTTGAAGTGTGTTACTTAGGGTACATTTTGTTGTACGTTCAGATGATAAATTCACTAGAGGGCGCTGTCTACATTTTAACATATTGGAAATGCGTTACTTTGGGTACTTGGGGTACGTTTTGTTGTACATTTCAGATGATTAATCCACTAGAGGGCACTGTCTACATTTGAGCATATTTGAAATGCGTTATTTCGGGTACTTAGGGTACGTTTTGTCGTACGTTTCAAATAACAAATCCACTAGCGACCAATGTCTACATTTTTATGAATCTGAAAAATGTTACTTAAGAGTGCGTTTTGTTGTATGTTTCAGATATACATCCTTCTTGTACACATCCACAAGAAGGTGGATATTGTTGTAAAGATCACCAGTGAACCACTGACCTAAACCCAACCAATAGTGCTTTCAAAAGCAAACGTAAGAGAAAAGTGCTCTGCGACCATATAGTCTTATTTTGTTTTAAATTTTGTTTATTAACCCAAGTGCTCTATTTCAGAAGAACTGAAGTTACTGAGGAAACTAGTGTTGCACGATATACTGCTACCAAAAGGATATCGCCACAATTTCAGTAGAAAACAACTCTCTTCTCGTTCAAATGTTGCTGAATATTTCAATTAATAAATATACAGATGTACAAATATATACAATAGATACAAGTGATAGACACCTTTAATTGTTTTGTGGCATTGATTTGGTGTTGTGCAAAGAACTGCATGGAAATCATCTTTCATTCGTCGATAACATGTCCCTGTAAATATCATTAGTGTGAAAAGGAACAAAAGTTGCTGTCGTCATTGTATTATGCACCAACCTGTGAGATCTCTTCGCTCTTTGAGTCGTCTCTATTTGCTAGTTTCTAGATCACGCTTAAAATGTCGAGATAGCGGCTCCAAGACTTTGGAACGATCTTCCACTCTCTTTAAGAACAGTTCAAACTGAGGTCGCTGAAAACACACTTATTTTCTTTAGCTTTTAACCTTGTGATGTGAGTTTATGTATTTTGGTTTTGTGTATACTTGTTTGGGTTTTTATTATTCATTGTGGTTTGTGAAAGCGCTATAGAAATAAAGTGAGTCGAGTCAGACTGTCCTGTAGCATTTATTTTACCTACAAACTGCAGTCGAAAGAGTTGTGAAATACATTTTTTGCAGTACCACAAAAAAACTATGTAGCCTAAAGCACATATTTTCAGGTGTTAGTAGTTACTGCGACTGTACCCGAAATCACCCCTTCACCCTTGTACATTCTAAACCTGTAACATCATTATGTTCAATTCAATTCAATTCAGCTTTATTTGTATAGCGCTTTTACAATGTAGATTGTGTCAAAGCAGCTTCACATAAATGGTCATAGTAACTGGATCAGTGTGGTTCAGTAACTGGAACAGTGTGGTTCAGGTTTTAGTGTTTAAGTTCAGTTCAGTTCAGTTTAGCTCAGTTCAGTGTGATTTAATCATTACTGAGAGTTCAAACACTGAAGAGCAAATTCATCGATGCGTAGCTCTACCAATCCTGAACCATGCGAGGCAGTGGCGACAGCGGAGAGGGAAAAAAAACTTCACCTGATGGGAGTGAAGAAAAAAACCTTGAGAGAACCAGACTCAGTTGGGCACGACCATTTTAATTTCTCCGCTGGCCAAAAGTCTTGTGCAGAACTTCATTCGCCGTGGTTTATGCTGGAAGATGGCCTCAATGAAGACTAGTCTGTCCCTGGAGCGTCGCTGGAATCAGACTCATGTTCTCCATGTTCTCTTGAGAAAGCCAACATACTGTTATACTACTCTGTCCTTGAAAACAAACGTATCTCCTCCTAGGCCGTTCATGCCACAAGGCCCAAATGTGGTCAAAATGTGCCTTCTACATTCAAGATTGTTGCTATATCTCCTCATGCCTATAAGACTTATTGTTTTTTTAATAAAAAATGTTAAATATAAAATTTTTATAATCCAGGCATATTAAAAAATTATACAAGCCCCAAATTTGGCCAAAAGCTGTATTTAGATGCGTTAGATTTTGTTGCTATATCTTTAAGGTTTACAGACTTATAGTTTTCCAATAAATAATTTTTAAGCATTATTTTTCTTATAATATGGCAAGCCATTTTTGACTTAAACTCCATATTTTTTACTCATATGGCAAGCCATTTTTGCATGTATCACTTTCACACCTAAGCGTTGTATTTTCAAAAAAATACGGCAAGCCATTTTTACATAATGTTCATTGCCTTAGTCCCTTTATTAATCAGGGGTCGCCACAACGGAATGAACCGCCAACTTATCCAGCGTTTGTTTTACACAGCGAATGCCCTTCCAGCCGCAACCCAACACCAGGAATACATAATGTCCAGTTTTTGACACTCATAAAGACTGTCATAGAAACATCGGGGTTGATTAAGATCACTCATATTGCCAAGAAGCTTTGATGTATCATCACTAACGTGTCAAATGTCCCCATAGCAATAAAACAGTATAACCTAGCAACCATTTAAAAATGGCAATATCTCTACATCAGGACATCGTAGGGACCTGGGCATTGGCCTGTTTGACTCATGCTAGCAAATGGGACTTCCTGTGTACATGCATGGTAACAATGATAATGTAAGCCAAGTGCTAATAACGATTAGCTACATGCTATGAATGATTATCTAAGTGCAATAACATATGCTAGAAATGCCTACTAAGTATTAGCATTTGATCAAACATGTACACAAGCATTGCCATTTAGCAACTGCTTAGCAACCACCTAACAATGCCATAATTGTTTTAGCAACTGCCTAGCAACCACTTAGCAACCGCCACCGTGCTTCCTGCCAACTGCCATTCCCAGTCCTAGCGCAGTCACATTGGCTTTCTCAAGCCAACATCAAAGTTTATCAATAAACTTTAGGTCCTAGTTAACTTTGATTTCACACAGAATTTAAGGTCACAAATCTTCTTGATTTACTGATCATAAATGTTTTACAGTATTTGAAAAAAGAAAACACACACATGTTGGTATTGGTGGTTTACAGGGACTCTCTAAAGGCGCAGTGCATTTTATACAGTACAAAAATGCTTGTTAAATGGCCCTACTCCTAAACCTAACCCTCAGAGGAAACCTGTGGAAACTTTTAAATGTCAAAAGACCCCGTTAAATATCATTTTGAAGCATTTTGCATTACAAGGACATCAGGCGTGTCCTCGTAAACCACCATAATAGAGCACAACTAGGTCAAACCCATGTCATTACACAAAAAAACCTCTTTAAAAACCATCAAAACAGTACACTTGCTATCTTTTAAAGCACTGTCATGATTCATTTGGCTAGTTTCACATGTATTTATATTAATAGATGATCAGGATCACTGCTGATTTACCTTTTGAACTCACTCCCCCATTAGAAGCGAGTCATTTGGAGAATAAATATCTCTTATAATTCTCACCAGTCTTGCTTTGGCTGGAATAGAAAGGCTTTACTAATGGCTTCCGGCGACCTTTCGGTATTTTTACTTTAATCAAGATGTGTTTAGTGCTTTTAAATCTTTTCTGTTCACTGATCAAGACCACACACACACACACCTACACACAGATGCGATTGTTTGCCTGATACTTCAAGAGTAATTCATGAATAAAGAGACTAGCATTAGAAAGCAGAAAGTTTTGCAGACCGTGGCGCCAACATCTAACTTGGTAGTTTGTTATTATTATTAATATTTCTTGCAGCGCTCAGAAAAGTTTACACTTTGCTTTTAGATCATCTCTGTATAATCAATTAATTACCAGCGCTGCTGCTTTGTTTAAAGTACTAACCAATGAAGCGTCATTATTACTGCCACCTACTGGCCAAGAGTGAATTTGCATTTTTATTCAGCCTGTTTGCTGTTTTGTTTGGTAGAAGTGTGCTTTAAGTGAGATTATGATGTTTTTAATGTAGGCAATCTAATTTAAATCACTGCGGATGCTTCAACCCTTGTTCGTAAATTAAATTATTTAGGTTTATTAAGAAAAACTAGGAGCATACAATGGAAATTGGTATCGGATTCAGACAATTTTCTTTCTCCCCTTCCCAAAAAAGGCAATCAGGTTCGGACAAATATGCATCAGTAGTACTACATTACTATTTTTTTTAAATTAATAAATAATCAGGATTACTAGTTATCTACCAAATGTACCTCCTATTAGAAGTGAGTATTTTAGAAAACAAATATGATCTCGTAATTCTCCACAGCCTGTTGTTGTTGGTCGAGCTGGAGAATGATGAAACGGCAAGGAACAAGCAAATGTAATGGCCGTTGTGCATCTGTTCAGATGAATAATTGATGTGTATAAGTTTGTGGTGCATCTGGCTGGGCACACGTAAACAAATGCAAGTGGGCAGGAGCTGTCCGTTCAGCCATTGTGAGGAGATGTTGACGGTGAATTACTATGCTCCGTGTCCCCTTCGGCAGGCTTGCGCAACCAGGCACACACACACACACACACACACACACACACACACACACACACACACACACAAACACACAGATGCATTCACACTCTTTTTCACAGCTGCACCGGTTGGGAAAGCAACAGTAGTGCTGCCATTGTTACCATCAGGTGCGTTCCTGTATTGTAGGGCCACTTTAGTGCTGTCACCATGGTTTTCATGGCGGATGAGACGGGGAGAGTGTCTGGAAACTAATGAAATGTTAATAAATCAGATCTCAAAGGGCACCTTGCTGTCAGGTTGACATCAAATATTAGTCAAGACTTGATCAGGATGCTGCAGAACAGCAACTCACGGCCCAACAAAAAGGTGTGTTGGTACCTTACTTGCAGAACCCTACTTTTGGTCCGTTTTAAAGTGATAAACGTATATATAACGTAACGTCCCTGCTGCTGGTGTTGACGTGAAAAATTCTGAGCTTTGGAGCGTTGGCTTGCTCTGAGAAAGCCGTGTCATATCACAATTATGGAGTGTTTTAACCACCCAATGCTTATTTTATGTTTTAGACATGTAAATGCACACAAGTATACTAGTAAAACTACACATTTAGAGTTTGTAAAACACACAGGACAGTCTATGGAAGTCTAACAATCCATTCAAATATAATTTGCCCATGTGTTTGATGTCCGGTTGACATCAAATATGAGTCAAGACTTGATCAGGATGCTGCAGATTAGCAACTCACGGCCCAACAAAAAGGTGTGTTGGTACCTTACTTACAGAACCCTACTTTTGGTCCGTTTTAAAGTGATGAACGTAACGTCCCTGCTGCTGGTGTTGACGTGAAAAATTTGAACTGAGCTTTGGAGCGTTGGCTGGCTTGGAGAAAGCCTTGTCATATCACAATTATGAAGTGTTTTAACCACTCAATGCTTATTTTATGTTTTAGACATGTAAATGCACACAAGTATACTCGTAAAACTACATATTTAGAGTATGTAAAACACACAGGACAGTCTATGGAAGTCTAACAATCCATTCAAATATAATTTGCCCATGTGTTTGATGTCAGGTTGACATCAAATATGAGTCAAGACTTGATCAGGATGCTGCAGAACAGCAACTTACGGCCCAACAAAAAGGAGTGTTGGTACCTTACTCAGATGCCAGGCTGTTAACTGTCTTTATTATACAGGCTGTCTGGAATACTCGATTCTGATTGGTCAATCGCAAGGTATATTAATCCAAGATAACAACCGCTAAAAACCATAGGCTAACACGGGATCTTTGAATCATCCTGATACATAAATATGTTCACATCTTTGCATCCACATTCAGACGTATCTGCCTGTCTGTCAGGCCACTGTTTTGACTGTTTGATGCCGTCTTGTGAATTATTAATGTGCAGGTTAGTGTATACTCCATTCAACAGGTTTCGTTCCTGTCAGCTTTGTGTTTTAGACTGTTTGGTGCCATCTAGGGATTGAATATTGCATAGGTTACTGGATACTCCATCAGCTGTTTTAGTTTCTGTCAGCTTTGCATTTAAAT